TGTTCAGTCATTGTCTTTAAGGTCTGCTGTGAGCTAAGTAGGTGCTTGATCTTGTGTGAGAGAGAGAGTCGAGGCAAAAAGAAGTATTAGAGAAAAAACTTGCTGCTTCAGAATATGTTTTTGCCTCTTTTTCCCACACACTGTATTGGTGGAACTGGAGATCATGTTGCCTTTTTATTGCATTGCTTTTTTGCTTATGATTAGAAGGAGATGTGGCGTTTCCTGCAAAACAGCTGCTAGTATTCCCTGGTGACCCGTCGAGGAGGATCCGGTGGAAATAAAGATTCAAAGAGACCTAGAAGACTTTGGCAGCTGCAGCCAAGGTTTTTGGGAAAGGTAGAGGATTGCACTGTGTAGGGTGCAGGAAGGAGAATTAGAAATTAAGTATGAGGACATGAGAGGGAAGTTCTGGAGATTCAGGGACTGTTAAGTCTCAGACAACATAAGGACTTCGCATCTAGCAAACAATTCAGATTTGGCTGGGAAAGTTGGATTATATCCATGTTTCCATAGGACATGGAGAATCTCCTGGAATACTTTTAAGATCGTTTGCAAGGCTAGCGATGCACGGTTTGTAATGTGGATTAGGAGACTATGTCGTGTTGTACCGACAGAAGTGAGCTTTTATAATCCTGGCACTCACTAGAAAAAATAGCAAATATTGATCTGAGATTGGTTCTTTAGAAAATGCAGTTAATTCAGTGAGAGGGTGTTAAACTTTGTTCTCCGAGATTCATGTCATTAATACATTAACTGTTTGACAACAGCAGTCACATGTTGCTTGTCACTGGCTGCTCTGAGCCTGCTGAGAGGGTGCAGAAGGATTAATGCAGTAAAGAGGGTTGTAACTTTGGCTGTGTTCTCTCTGCTTTGGGATTTGACAGCAACTAGCTTGCTTTTTTTTTTTTTAAAGGAGTATGTGTTATTTATGCAGAATGTAAACATCTCTTTGGAAGTGTTTGAGCAAAGTGGCAAAATTTTCTTTCCTGTTTTAAACTTGAACGCACGTTTGCAAGATTCTGCAGAAATCAGGAAATCAGAATGGCTGGAGAATTTGGGTTCATGTTTTGTGGATGATAATTGGCATTCCAGTTGCTTTGCAAGATTTTTTTCATCTTTTAGGGGCAAAACTTTACATTTTACTTTAGGTTAACATTTGTGCACTGGATATGCCATTCCTTAATATAAACAGCCGCGACCATAGCCACAGTTGTGTGCGCATGAATTCACTTGCCCTGCTAGACTTTATTTGCCTACGCACGCACCGCAGATAAGTGTAGAAAGTTTTACCCAGATGGCTAGTTATGTTCTTAATGCGTTAGTACGTGAATGTCTGATTTTATATATTTGATGTGTAAGTGTGCTTTGTTCACATACTAATTGCTTACGTAGGCTATATAACGGCAGATTTATATACTGTGTGTATAATTCTTTGTGTATGTATAAAATACCGCTAGGCATACTAGTAGGAATTTGTAAAGAATCGATGAGTCCTAGTGTGTGACCAGGAAATGTGATTTTGTTAAGAGAAGCACAGCCACCTGGGTTTAAGCGGTTGGTTTTGACAGCCGATGCAATTTGTGCTTTGTTTTTTATACGAGAGAAAATACTGCCGTTATTTCTGTTTGGAAGTTATTATCCGATGTCTAAGGCTGATTTACTACCACACATGCAGCAGGGAAAAGGCAAATGAGAGCCAGTGTAATAGTTCTTGAGAAGGAATATCTCAATATTTAGTTCTTTGTGATTTGTTCTCCCACCTCTCACCTGCTTGTCTGTGAGGTTTCCCATCTTGAAAGCCCCGGCCCCTGGAGGCATGCTTGCCCTGCTGCAGGAGTGGTTTTCTGTCCTTTCTGAAGGAGTTACTCTTTTGGCACTCCACCGTGACCCTACCTGTAAGGTGTTGCTTCCTTCTTCTCCTGATAATGCTAAGGTGACTTTAACTTGTGTAAGTAAACACGTCGTTTTCCCCCATCTTAGCTGTGTCTGCAAATTATGAGTCGTTATGTGACACTAGCTACTTATGTTCCCTCTCCCATGTGACTTTAGCGCGGTCGTAATTTGCACTCTGCTTCTAGGAAATTTCACGAGAAGCTGCCTGACGCTGATGATTCTCAAATCACTATCAAAGTCTGTTTAAAGTATGGAGGGCTTTCCCTGGCCAGGTTTTAGGGGAAGAGTGGAGTTTGAGGAGAGGAAAGGAAATGCCAGATATAGCAGTTGGTTGTGATCACAAGAGTGACCACTACTCTGACACATTTATGATAAAATAAGTGACCTCGTAATCTTTTCCTTCCCTCTCTTTTAAGTAAACGTATATCTAAAATGGCAGGATGCGCTTCATTATGTTGTCATATTACCACTATGCCTTTTACTTCTATCACTTTATGTGATATATTAAAAAAATTCAAAGTTAATGCTCTGTTTTGGTTCTGGGAATTAATAGATTGAACAAGTTGTGTTGGGGGAAAAGATTCCAATATTAGACTGAGTAAAGAAAGTCTCTTAAAAAACCACCATGTGATTCTTCAGATGACTTTAAGAGATGATTTGAGATGGTCAGTATCTTGTCTGTCTTTACAGAGTACTGATTTTAATAACAAAGTAGTGTATTTCGCTTCCAAATATATCCTTAGGGATGGTGTCACAGATATAATTTACCACCAGGCAGTCAGTCTTGAGAAAACCAGTAGCTGTGGTGAAGATTGGAGTAATTAATCATGAATGTACATGAGAAACATGATTTTTCCAAAGTTTCACTTTATGTAGAGCCTGGTTTTGCTGGTTACACAGGCGTTCCTTTTCATCGGCCCTCAAGAAAGTAATGCTAAAATTTCAGATAGGATATAAATATTTTTATTCAGGTAATTCAAATTAGATTAAGTCGTCACTGAGCAGGCTGGTGAATCTTAAAACAGTAACTATTCTTTAGCTAAAGAAAATAGTCTACCAAATAAAAAATATGGAAAAAGAAGAAACTCAGTATTTCAGGAACAGATGCATAGCTAAAATGGTTCATGCCACAGATTTGAAGTGAAATTAATGTAAATTAATTGCATCCTACGAAGGACTTTTTAAAGGCTGGAGCTGTATGGTGGGGCGTGAGGCAGGATGAAAATTGGTAAAAGACAGTTAGCGTTTGTTTGGTGGGGGGAGCTCCTTTTTCTCTTTAAAAAAAAATTGAGAATGTTTTGTTCTTCAGTTGCGGGAGAGCATTGAGGAGATTTCAACATTTATAATTAAAAGCTCCGATTATGAAGATATGGAAGTGCCTAATCTTTAATGGAAAATTCCTGTGTGTAGTCTTGAGGGATGCAATACAAACAGTTTGAAATATTCTTTATATATTGTAAGTGTTTCTTGTTGTTGTTGTTGAGGTATTGGCCTGCTGCATATTAATCATGGATGAATCTTTCTGCTACAGGCAAGTTTTTACTTGTGAAGATGCCACACAAATTGCCATGTTTTGATTCTCTGTGGGAAAATTTTTCTGGGTTATCCATGAAATAGCAAGCCAGAGAGAGTGCATGGTTTATGATGCAAATGCAAAACTTCCTCTTGGAGCAGCAGGTTGCTGTTGCTTCTCTAGCTTGCTCTGGGCTAATGGAGTGATACTGCGCAAGTTCAAAATTAGCTTTCCGTTGGGTGCTGTTAAACTCTGAAGAGAAGAAAAATTACCATGTGTTGAAAGCTGAACGTTAGCTTGTCAAAAGTTCTCAAATCTGTGATTAAATTATATTTGCTACATTCAATTACTGTATCAATAGTGAGTGCACGTACTTGATTGCAGCCTTGAGGCTGCTGGAGTGTTTCTCCGTTCGCGGGCAGCCTGCAAACACGAGTCAGCCGCTGTTCAGCGCAGAACTGCTGACTGGAGAATTCCTCTTTCCCCCAAACTGTGTCGGTGGCGTGCGTGCCTGCCTCTCTCTGCCTCCTGTAATGTTTTGTAGCCATGCTCAAGTTCGCGGTAGCGCGCCTGCTGCTGCCGGCGTCCCGGAGTCCAGCGCTCTGGCCAAGCACCAGCAGGTCTCCCCAGGAGAAGTTTGGAATGGGTAAAGAAAAGAATGACCAATTGCCACCTTAAACCAACGTTTTGGTTGGATGATATCAGGGTTAGAGCATTTAGATATAAAAAAGATAACCAAGCCCAAACTGTTTTCCTCGCGTCTGTCCCTTTTCAAGCCTGCTCTCCTGTCGCGGCCCCGCAAGGCCTTGCTTTTCGCAGTACTTCAGAGGTCTTCAGTGTTGTCCTGAACAGTTCTGCAGCAAGGGCCTGACCTCCCGGCGCAGCGTTTTGTAACTGATGGCAAACTTTCTGCTCTTCTGCACTTATTACTTGCCCTGTGCGACGAAAAAGAGCTTTTCCCTTGGCTGGGGCTAGGAGATAGGGCTCTGCGTGGTTGATAGCTTGGAGGTTGTCTCCTTAGAAGGGATTTGTTTCCCTTTAGTTGCTTGTCAGTCTTCTGATTTTTTTTTTGTTTTTTTTTTTTTTCTTCGTGGCTTTCCATTAAACTTAAAGCAAGAGGTTCCTGAAGTGAACTGCCCAATAGCTGGGTCGCGTGATTTCTTCACAAACTCTGACAGAAGCAAAGTCGCCGAGTTGTGTCCCGAGTCATGTGGGAACACGTTACGCAGCTTCCCGTTCCTCCTCTGCGGGCGAGAGCTGAGGCAGCCGCCTGGCGTCCCTCACCTGCGTCCCGGCGGGCGCTCACTGTTTGCAAAACGGCCCGAGACTTCTCGGGGAAATTTCCTGGGGAGATTTGTGTTGCTACCTAGCGTTTATTACACTATTTTTATATTCTTGCGAGCGCTTGACAGAGTTGATTGGCTTCAGTCTTTCGGCATGATTACTTTCGCAGTGGCTACCAGGTAGTTCTCTATGGAGTGATGAAATCATTGTGATTAGAATATAAAGGCACAATTTCCCCTTTCCTGACTTCTGTTTTTTCCCCCCGTTTGGCCTGTGAAATGCTGTGAGCTGTACCCTTCTTCTCTTACAGAACGAAGACACGGTTCAATGTGTAAACCTTCCCCTTCGCCAGCTTCTCCAGCCTGCAATTCCAGGACGTCCCTAGTACAAATGAAACCGAAATCCTGTATCAGCGGCCATAACCCTGTCAGCAGCAACTCAAAGCCATTCAAAACGCCCAAAGACAATCTACTTACCTCCAGTAGCAAACAGCACACAGTCTTTCCTTCAAAAGTATCACGGGATAAACCATGGTAAGTACCAAAAGAACAGATAGCTGAGCTGTTTTGCTTTCCAAAAATAATTTATATCTCTATGTATTTTCATGAGCATCACAAAAATCTGTGTTTTCTTCTTTTCTAAGCTTACAGTTTAAGCCTCTAAATTTCCTAAGGGAGGAAATTGGGATGTTTTAAAATTTAAAAAAATCCTAGGAAGAGGAAGAAGGATTGATGATTCACTTTGCTAATGTTCCATCAAATGTCTGCTTTTCTGAGATTCATATAAAAAGTTTATAGCAAGTGACCCAGTTTGTTATCTTTAAGGTCCATCTGACATGACAATATCAGCCTTTAAAACTGATGCATTTAAACAGCAGGATAATTGTTGTTGAGTTCTTAATATTGGCTCAGCTGATGTTCATGAAAACTTACTGGCTGCAGTCGTTTATCTTCAGCAGCAGCTGCTGCTGGAGCTTATTCTATGTTTTTATAACATTTGATGCTTTATAAGACGATAGAAGAAAGTTCTGTCTGCAAAAGTTATATTTTTTGGTTTTTTTAAAGTCTTGCATTGTGTATTGTGATGTATACCCATACAGGCTTTGAAACTGCTGGGCCCATCCTCCTGTGACTGTGATGACAGTGCAGAATTGCAGAAATAGAAATGAGAGCCAAATTGGGTCACTGTATTTTATGCCTTAAGAGACTGTTTAATCTTTAGTTATTTACAGGAAAGATGCTTTGCGACTAGGTCACTAGCTTGGTGACTCCAGAGATTTGTGTTCAGCTCCTGGTTCTGCACAGGCTGCTCGTATAACTTAGTCTCTTTGGCCTCAGTTCCCTGTCTGTAGACATAAGATAATAGGACATCATTTTTGTTATCCCTACTTACTGCGTAAGGATCTCTCTCTTTTATATGTAATAAGAAGCATATCTAGATTTTAGGTAGGGTTTCTGGACACAACTGCCTTAAAGCAGTAAATACTTTAATCTAAGCAACTCATCGGTAACACAGAACAAACTCAAATTCTGTTAAAATAATAGACGATGTTTTCTGTCTACGACATTGTGCGCTGCTTGCTATGGTTTCAAAGAGAGCAGCTTCTGCCTACCTGTAGAGTTTACCTGGTACTGGAACAAACTTGATCAAAATCTGATTTTCCTATACATCTGAATCTGCTGTCTCTATAGGTATGATGAGAATTCTAGACAATTACAGTACGTAACTGCTGCAAATAGGGATTCTAGATCTTTAGATTGCACACACGCACATACAGATGAGACAGAGTTGTTCTAGTTAAGACGTAAATGCTTTGTTTACTGTCAGAAAAATAATACTCTTGACTGAATAGTAACGTTTTGTGAATGTTGGAGAAATTTCATACAAGAGGGTATTATTTTATTTTTTTAACTCTAATGAAAAGGAATTCAAAGAGGGCTTGAGAGTATTAACTTTACTGACCTGTTTGCCATCCCAGCGTTGCACACAGCAACTTACATATCCACGTTTCAGCCTGCTGACTGAATCTGTAAAGAGGATCTTTCATTTTGGCAACAGATGGCAATCTGTCAGTCAACAAAAGCCAAAAGGGAACAAGATAACTAGGCATTTCCTTTTCCCCTTATTGGGAACATCCCAAATGTTTATTGGTGATAAAGAAGGTGTATTTAGTTGTCTAAAACTGTTGTACTAGTCTGCTAACAATTAGGCAATGGATATGTCGGCAGTTCTGTCTGTGATTTACCAAATTCGTCTGGCTCAAAAAATGGGTATAGAATTCATCACACATCCAAGTAAGCTGAGATTTATCATCCTCAGAAGCTTGCAATTACTCAAGGCTTTTGTCTGTCACACTGTAGTCTCGTACCACAAATGCTTACTTCGCATAGGCTCTTCCAGACTGTTATCCAATTACCTTGATTCAGGAATTTTGTCATTTGTAATGATTGCTTTCCGCGCCTGGGATAAGTTTTTTTTTTTTGCACATCTTTCATAATTTGTTCAGCATCTCTTTTAAACCTTATCTGTTAGAGTCAGTAGCAGTATTTAAGAAATGGCTTCTGCACCAGTCTGGCCCGGTAGATGTCTGCTGTAATGCCTGCCTGCATGTTGACCAAACTCTTCCCCCGTTTTATTCATTACTGATTTACTCGAATCATTATTTTAAACACTGACCCAGGATCTCTTTCTTGTCTTCATGTCCTGTGTTGTTCTAAGATACACAACAGGGCTCAAAGAGCTCCTCCGTGGATGCTGTAAAAAGTGTGACCAGAAGGATCTGGTGAAGGTGACTGGGGATTGTTTAATTTTTGTAGCTGCTGTTTTGGTACTGTCGTTGTTATGCTTGCAATGTGAGGTGTTATTGTGAACACGTTATCCAAAATACTTGCCAGTTCTGATTTTTTTCCTGTATCTTGGTTGCTATTAGTACAGCAGTGCTCAGAGGCTGGAGCGGGACAGGAGCACCACGACACTGTGCTCAAGCTAAATGCGAAGCAGTGTTTTCTGAAGCTTGAGGTTGAGGTTTTAGGAGATGTAGCAGAAGTACTGAAACTGGTCAGCAACATTCCAGTATCTGTATAACCAAGGGCATGTGAAAAGCAAATTTGCTCCTTAATTGTATTTACTAGTTCTGTTTTTATATAAGCATCCACGTTAGCCCCTTTGTCACAACAACGCAATAAAAGCTCATGTTGTTTATCCACGGTGACCACTAAACGTGTCATTATTTTTCAGTATGTTTTTCCCCGTATGTCACTGTTGACTGACTAGATTGTTTTTTTTCATATATAACCTTACATTTGGTTGTAGTAAAGTACATTTTGTTTTAAATGAATCAATGTGACAAAACACTCTAGATCACTTTTATAGCTGCCTTCTCTTCATTGCTCCCTGTTTCCCTTGATCCTGATTCCATCAGCAAATGTTATCAGCGGTAATCTTGCATTTATTTCTACATACTGATGAAGCTCTCAGTAGTGTCAGCCCTAGTAACGGTGGCTCAAGTGCCCCGCTAGGAAGCATCCTTACTGAATTGTGAATCTCTGAAAACCAGTTTTTAATTCTGTGTTTAACATTTGCTTTATACTGTTTTTATTTGTGTTTTATAGTGTCTTCTGAATGCCTGGAACATTTTGACAGTTATCTTTGTCAGCCTAACTTGTATCCTCATCAAAAAGCGAAACCAGATTTCTTTGCTAAGATCTGCTTTCAGTACCACCATGTGAACTAATTGTTTATCAGTTTGTTTTTATTAGCTTTTCCATTATTTCTTCCAAGACATTCTGTTTTGGGTTTTGCATGTGGATGCAACAGCAGCGCTCATCTAGCGTTCTCTAATTTGCCAAATATTCCCAGATTCAATTAGAAATTAATATGCTCAGACCAAATATCTCTTCAACTGTTCATGGAATTCACGGATACATTTCCCGGGCTCTGCTTATGGGAAAAGTATTGATGGTGTTTTTTTTTTAGCTAGCACTTTACAGTTGCTGAAGGAAACAAAAATACATCTTATCTGATTGGAGTACGTTATCATGCTTCCGTCTTAGCGTAAAAGAAATACTGAGTATTTCTCTCATTTTTTGCATCACTAATAACAATTTTACTCTCCTTTAGGTGCTGGTACTATTGTTAGGATTTCTTTTGTTCCCAGTAAACTTGCCTTTATCGAATACCACTTCTTTTTTTGGACATATTTTTGGCAATCTTCTATACTCCCATTTCCCTCATTTGTACTAATTGCTGTGTGCCTTTTCTCTTTTTTTAGTTTGCTGTGTATTGTTTTTCTAATCGTTTCTTTCAGCAGTTGTCCTTACTAAACCTAAACAGTCTTTTTTTTTGAAAAAATTCTTTTTAAAATATTGGCGTTATGTTTCTTTTATTTTTCTAATGAAATTTTTAAAGAAATCTTCAATTTTGACTCATCATAATCCTCAGTTTGGAAGAAGTACTCTCTTAAACCATCAAATGTAAATATGAGCATCCCAATGTCATCTACTCATTTTTCAGTCCTTCTCAGATGTCACTGGTCCTACACAGCTTCCAATTTGCAGCCCAGTTATCTCTTCATCCTTATTAATTGTACCAAGGCAGAACTAGGGTTCTGTAATGCTGAATGCGGTACCCACTTATATTTTAAAAAAAAATTATCTGTAACTTTTAAAATCTCTAATTTACTGTAGACTGTCTGGAGTGCTATAGTGTATGTGTCTTATAACAACCAGAGTGTTTTTCTTTTTTCCCTCTGCATTGCAGAGAAATTTTTAATGAATAATTTTATTCCTATCCTGAGGTTCACTTGCTGATCTATAACAAAAGTAAACCAAAACGTTCCCTCCGTTGGGCGCTGTTCGTTAGCACAGGGAGCCACGTGTGCGCTAGGGCGTGAGGTTCTCGCAGATGAACCGTCCACTCTTTCTTTTCATATTAACTGTATTTTACTACCAGAACAGATAGTATACTTGACCCTTCTGGTGTGTATTAATGCTTTGAATTGAGACAGATAGATCTCATAAACAGGGCATGAAGATACATTCAGCTCTGTTTTTATATAGTACAATGACTCGATCAAGGATCAAAAATTCTTCTGCTTTCAGAAAATTTAATTCTGTCATCTGTTTTAAAAAAAAAAATAGTTCCCACTCCAAGATATTATTATTTGTCTGTCATTTAACTGCATAAATTCAGAGTGGTTTAAAGAATAGCTGGAAAAAAATCCTCTCTGTCATAGCTTCATGTTTACACTGTTATTAAAACAGTTTTGCAGTTGTGTTTTTTTGAGTAAGTTAAACTGTTTTGCTTACTTACTGCACTGCGCTCTACATTATGCTGCGTTCAGGTCTGTCTTCTGACCAGCTTCCTTCTGTATTTACAATACCACAGGATGTGGAAGATGTATATGATTTAATCCCAGCTCCAGATTATATCTTGATGTCTACATCTTCTTTTTAGTTTTATAGGCATATTGTTTTTATCGTAGTTCATTTAGCTGTATTCAAATATGGAATTATCCTTAAAATATGGCATATGGAACAGAAATAAACGCAACTTTCCAGTGTGGGAGAGTCCACTCCAGCCAGGTATTCTGCACTTTCTGTTGACAATCTCCAGCAGCTTTGGAGAAAGGGAAGTTTTTCTAGCATGCTGTGAAGGTCAAGACTCGAGTTATTTTGGACCCTTCTTCCCATGTTTCCGAAGGGTCTCCTGTGGAGAGTGCCCTGTCAAAGTCGTCATCTTTTTTTGATAGCAGAAACTCCATATTTGCTCATCTTTTTTTTTCTGTAGCAACAACACAGAGAAGGTGCCATCTTTCAGGCACAGAAGACTGAAATTACTTGGGATTTATGAATGGGGAAAATCCCAAACAGCACAAACAGGCAAAACCGTCTGGGCCTGCTGGCTGGCACCAGTGCGGTTTCTGGCGAGAAACTCCGCTTACTGAACAGTGCCATGCCAGCGTACTTCAGAACATAAACTCATTCAGCAGAGGTTGTGTTTTCAACAAGCATCACGTTTTTGTCCGTAATGCAATTGTAGGACCCTCCGCGCTTAGCATTCAAAATCACTGCAGTGATTTGCAGTAAAAAGCTTGTTCTTTGAATATGATCTGATAAAGAGTAACTTTATATTCATTGTAAACATATTTAATTTTACCTCTAGCACGCGCATCAAGTTAAACCTTTAAGACAATAATAGATAAGGAATCTCTGAGCTTAAGAAGTGTTAACAGGAATACTGTTAAGCTGTTTATGCTTCTGGATGAGGATTTTGGTTTACCTCCTAAACCTCACCTTTGCATTTATATTTAAGAAGACTTACGTTTCTCTTGTTTGCTCAGGGTGGAATGATACCCTCAAAATTGCAGCTTTTGCGTGATCAGGGTGTAAATTTGCTTACGAGGCAATTAGTCAACTGTCTGGCAAAAGCGACTGCTCAGACAGCGTATGGGAAGCACTGGAATAAGTGACATGTTTCCATTAGCAGCCTCCAGTGAAACCCGGGCTTAAAGCTCTGAGCATCTGTATCTTTACATTAAATTAAATTTATATTTAAATTAATCTTTTCTCTCTGGGTTTGCATCAGTGAGGAGGAGTAAATACAATTTTAATTGGTAGGCACAAGACATCTGATTTTGGGGTTGTGTATAGGTAGAGCAGCTGCAGCTGTTAAATCTTCACTCATTTAGTTATGAGCCAGTAATGTCAAAATAACGTTGGCATTAAAAGTTACTTAACCTTTTTTGCTACCAAATTGAGAACACTACATTTGTTAGTGTCAGAAATATGCTATTTGTGACAGGTTAAATAAGGCGGAGTTAGCTATTGCAGAGTTTATTCTGAAAAGGTCCAGCTAAGCTGATAGTCGTACTGGGATTCTTATTCGTTAGTTCGCAAGATTTTATTAAACAAAAATTTAATATTGCTCTAACTCTCAAGGATTTTAATACTTTTAAAGGGATGCTGTTAAAGCTTCTAGGTTCAAAATCTCTTTTTCCCTTGTCTCCGGGACTCCTATGCTATTCAGACGCTTCTGAAAAAATTAACGTTTTTTGAGTGTTTATTTAGAAATATTAGTATTGTTAGTACACTTCTTCACCATCATGATGAACCTTGTGTAGCGTACACGTTTGCAGTAGGTACTGGTATGAAAGGCGTGAGACCATGTATGTAAGGGAACGTGTTTTGCCTAGTACCAAATGCTTATTTTGTTTCTGAATACTAGGGAAACGGATCTTGAAAAATGTGAAGCTTCATTTTCATAGTTCTCTACCTTGCCAAGCTTTAAAAAAGGCTGATGTTGTAAATATTTGATTGAACAAAAGTAGTGACTAATGGTACCAAGTATTTCATTTTAGTCTAGTCCCAAGATGTTATGTCACTTGCATCAGAAGTTTTTATATTTGTGGAAGGGAGTTAAGGAACCGTAAATATGTGGTACAGAAAATACGACTTGAAGATTTTTCTTTGGTTTTGCAGTGTTCCTGTTCCAGTAGTCAGTCTAGAGAAAATTCCTAACCTAGTGAAGGCAGATGGTGCCAATGTTAAAATGAATTCTGCAACCACTACCACCATCACCTCCTCCTCAGCCTCTTCATCCACCATACCTGCTCCAACTTTGGTTAAATCTGGTTTGACATCTAAGTCAGTGCCACCATCACCAGAAAAGATTCTGAACGGCAAAGGAATCATAGCTCCATCAATAGACAAGAAACACCAAAATGGCACTAAAAGCAGTAACAAGCCTTACAAAAGACTTTCAGGTGAGTAATGTTGTAGTTCACATTTTGAGGTAGTTCATCTTTCTTCATTAATATTTCTACAGCTTAGAAACTATGTAGTAATAAAATGCCGTAGGCTGGGTTTGGTTTGGTTCTCTATTGTAGGATGCGGTTCTGCCTGTGTGAATAAAGAGATTTCAAACTTTCATTTGCAAAATATTTCCAAAATACACATTCTATTTAGCTTGAAAGTAGGGTGTGTAATGCATTTCTCAGTTGGCCAACAGGCAGAATGTAAAATTTTAAGGGAATAAATTCAGTAAAACAAAGGCAGGTGGTCTGCTCATTTTAACTTGTTGTATAATTTGAATCTGTTTACAGTAGACAAGCAAATTCCTAAGCTGAGTGATGATCCTAGTATTCCTAGTACAGTAATGATCAAGTCGAACAGTTGAGGTTTAGGGCATTAATATAACAACATTTAGAGACAGTTCTGCTGAAAAATGTAACTTGCACCACTTGAAAAATACATGCCCATTATATGTAGCATCAGTCTTTGACATTAAATGTCGGGCCTATACAAAACATTTTCTTAATCTAACATATTAACTGCATAGTGAAGAAATGCAGTGGCTAATCTTGGTCTCTGAAAATAGCAAATAATGTTGCATTGCTGCATCTTTAAAAGGGATGAGACTACAGAGAGCATATGTTGTTTACAGCGTTCCGTTTGTAATTCTAGCAAAAAGGTAATTTCCATTATAATAAGAGAAGGAAAGACATGTTGCTTCTAATAACAGAAGAACTATTTTGTTTTGGTCTAAGATGACATCATCCACCGAGTCATAATTTTTTTCAACAGCGTTCATTCTGCTTGTAAATATTGGGAAATTCTAGGAAGATTCCCCCACAGGGAAGGTTCCCAAACAGGGATTTTGGGGGAAATCTTACGAGTCATAAATCTCCCCCTCCTCTGCCCACAATTCATACATGAGTGAAGTAAGAAATTTATGGAGTTGGGATCTCAGTCTTTCTCAAGAAGACAGGACAGTGGGGTTGAGGGAGTAGCATAAAATGTGGGAATGCCCCGGACAGCCTTAGGTGAGCAGGAGCGGGGATGAAGGTCCTGAAGCACAGGCAGAAGCATCGTGGGAGCGTAGAGGGTTGGTTAGAAAGGGCCTATCGCCACCCATTCTGCAGGTAGAATTTTTTCTTATTTTCTCCTTGAAGTTCCCCAGAGGTTACCCATACAACTGTAGGGCAGTGAGTAGAGAATTTGCCCCCTAAAGCTGAAAACATATTTTTGTTCTGAATGAAAGGAAAGAAAGTGCTTTGAGGGGGTGGGTTTTTTGTTTGTGTTTTAAAGCAAAAGTAACTGAATCGAGTTTCCTGCTTCAGAAGCTGCACAGGGTCTATTCATGTACTGGCAGTACTTTGTGATTTGGGCAGGAACTCCTTGTGTGTACTGAAAGGCTAATTTGACTAATGGCAGCATTAGCACTGGATTAGGTCGCCCGTTTGACAGGAAGTAAATTCACATGATTTTCTGAATGTGCCGTAGTTATGAACCAAGGATAACTTTTGCAAGATAATAATACAAGTATGCCTTATTTTTTACAGAATACCAGTTGGGTTTTCCTCATTTTTTCAAATTTGGCAGTTAGCTCTATGGTAATGCTACCATGGCTTGACTCCAAAGCAGTGAGAGGTGTGTTTGCTAGGGCTGTGTGTGGTATGGAACAATGCCATTGCCCGAAAGCATTCAGTACACTGATTTCTTTCTTAACTCGTTAAAAGGTGCCTTATAAGAAAACAAAACAGTTGTTCATGACAGAATTCCACAAAACTAAAAAATATTAAGGGGAAGTAATTGATTTGTCTTTTATACCTTAAGCTTCACGTGCTAAGATCCAGTTTGTTAGTCTAAGGAGTAACTACATATAGTATATTTTGCAATTAATTTAAAATACTGATTTCTTTTAAGCCATTCTTTCCTTTAATGTTTTCAAAGCTTAATTTTTAATTTTTTTTTAACGATCAGTTTTGAATTCTTTCCTAGGCGATTGAAAGTGACGCTTGCTTTGCTCGTGTCACCTTCTACGTGTAGTGATACAGGGCTGTAGGTGATACGTGGACTTCTTTTGTACAAGTGCTCACTGAGCTGTGTTCATAAAGGAGAATCGTTTCTGTAGGGCCTCCCTTCAAGTCGTTTGTTCTGTTCCATGGAGGTGCCGCTCCATCATTCTTCCGTCTGTAAGCTGCCATTCACTGTCGCTTTTAGGACCGGGAAAGTTTCGCTGGTGGAAATTTCCAAAGAGGCTGGGGCTCTGCTTTAGGATTGTTTGAGTACTCTTGTGGACAGTAGTTGACGTTTATGTGGTTATCAAATCCACAAAATTGTTTATTTTTTTTAAAGCTCTTCTCTCATCCGATTTAGAATCCATTAGATCTTGCTTCTGCTGTCTCGCATCTTGATGGGACAATACAATAAATGAGTGATGATGCAAGTAACAGAAGTTCTGAAAACTCTGTAAATTGTCCGTAGATTGTGTCAGTAGGATGGATGCCTCTCAGTTATTATACGGAACTGTACAAAGGCTGAGATAAAGATCTTGGAAGGTCAATGAGATGATTGTTTTAGCTATACTATAATATTTAATTTGTTTCACATAAAAAGAAGGAGAAGGTGGCTGGGACGTTTAAGTTTCCTTCGGTTCTCTGCTGTGGAAGTGTACAGCTGTTAATTTTTGAGCTTTGTAGCGGGTCTGGCTGGTTTACATCATTTTCTTTCCTTTTTAGCAACCTCCACTCTCCCTCATCCCATTCCCTTGACTGTGGCTAAAGTTGTTTTCTTTGCTGAGAGCTAGTGGCTGTTTGGGTGATGAATGAACCTTCTCTCCTTTCAGGAGAGCTGCTGTGGGTGAGAGAGGAAAGGAGCTCATGGAACCACAAAAGCCCGTCTGTAGCTGCCCAGCACGAGTGCATCAGTGTCCCCAAACAGCAAGCTGCAACCCTCCCCCCCTTTTTTTTTTAATTTTAATTCCTGTTCCCTTAGGGGTAAAGCTGAAGAATACAGATGTCCGATTTAAACCAGGTCTGTCTGTTGTGTTGCAAACAGGCGTTTGAGGCAGTTAAGTTTTGGCCCTGTCTTTTCTTTAGGTGGGGCTATAATGCTGCTTAGCTCTGACCACTGAAGGTGATTAGGAGGGATCCAGTCTGGAGAAGCAGCGTTCCAAGCTGTGCCTGTGCACGAGGGCCGGGGGAGTCTCATGCTATGGACTACCTCATATAAAAGTAGTCAGAAGCTGCATTTCATTATTGATAAGAAGGCAGTGATCTTCATTTAACATGTTGCCCAAACCAGGCGCGCCTGTAGCTAGCGATTGGATGTTTCATGACACCTCTGGAAAGGCCATGTAGGCTTCAGCCAGGAGAAGTGATTTCCTGTTTGCTTAGTATTGTCTCAGAGACAGCATATTATTTTGTTCTGTAGACAGCAGAGGCTTCCACTTTTTTGACCACAAGTCATTATGCTGATTTTTACCTCTATGGGTTCCTAAAAATTGGCTTTCCCTATAATCAGTCCTGAAAGTCTGGCTTGATCAGGACACTCTTACTGGCAGGTTGCAGTCTGCGCATTCCCAGAGGAAGCACTTTGGATTTTTGAAATATGTTTCCCTGTTGGTGCCGAACAGTCCTAGTTTGGTGATGTTCAGAACGTGTTTCGAAGCCTCGCCGTTGCCCTCATGATTTTTTATTCAAATACACATTTTTGAGTCCATATAGTCTGTTTAGTTTATTTTTTAACTTGTGTTGAAAGGTTTTAGGCAGGTGATTCAAGAAGCTGCGGTAGGCACGTTATGTACTCAAAAATCGGAGTAGGGAATTAACTGCTTTAGCTCATGAACACACGTTTTCATCTGTTAGGCAGAAAACGTTTTTTAATTTTAGTCATACACAGATACATTTTTGTTTCTGCTGTGCTGTAAAAGCCATAGCAACTACAAGTACTTGTGACAGCCGTCAGGCCCTCTGTGGATTTCACCAGAAGATGTACAGCCAACTGGCTTTCCAGAATCGCTTTTTGGTGCATCTCTGCTGCTAGGCCAATAACCTAACCATTTACTTAATGTTTGCTTTATCATTTTTAAGTCCAGATAGCACAATATGCGTAACTGCTAGTCACGCTGATATCTGGGAGACAGGAGTTGTCGAGCATAGATTATCTGGCGTCCCGTTTCTTCTTCTAGCTGTTCTGCTGCCTGTGAGGTTTTCCCGGCGCTGTAGCATGGCTGTGAATTGCTCTCTCCATCGTGGCACCGATTTTTTTTTTTAAATTTGTGAAGAGTTTTTAGCTCCTCAGATTAAAAATTGTATTTAAGTACAAGTGATCATTATATCTGAATGCAACGCAATTGTCCAGTTAAAATAGACTTTGGCAAGTAGTTTATATTCCACTACCAAATTAAAGCAAACCAGCCCTGCCAATGACAACATGTGATGTCTAGGTATATAAAGATAATGGTAGATTTGTTTATGTGGCATAAAAAGCATATGTCCGTATTTTTGCTATAGTCCTGTAGTGCAAAACCTAACATTATATTAAACCTAATCTAAAGGAGGTGGTGTTATATGTGGTGTACAAATATTAAAATGTTAATGACAAATATGCAAAGATACCATATTAAAGATTAAGTGCAGTTCTAATGTTGTTAATTATTGGAGCTCATGTAAATGCCTCTTTTTCAAAACCTTTGCAGCCTTTAAGCTCAGTGCCCCCACTGACTTAGGGAAATATGAACTAACAAACACATTTTTATGCTTCTTGAAAAAGGGATTTAGATTTTTTTTTTTTTAGTGTCTCCAGTAATCTTGTATTTACCTTTTCAGACACCACTGGTTGCTTTTCAGAGTTTCTGAGCGTTTCAAAGACATAATGCTAAGCACGTGCGCTATGTTGTCTGTGGGTGTCTTAAATTATGCTGCCAAACTCAGAGGCCGGATTTGCAAATGTGCCTCATAGGGAGCCAATGTTAGAGAGGCAACTGAACTCCGAGGTACTTCACTTGGGCCTGTGTTTGGAGCGCTCTCTAACGCAGGCTTGTTCCTGTGAAGCCTGTGGTTGAAATCCTGCGCTGAGTAGTATGAAACATGTAAGGACAAAAAAAACCAAATAACTGTATTAGTGATGCACATGGCACTATTACATGGGGCTGGTGTTGGGAATGGTGGTTCAAGCTGGGCTTGGTTGAATCAAGTACTATCAGGCAAAACCTGTATGCTCTGGTTAAAATTTCTGAAATAATCTTTTTCTCCCCCTCCTTTTTTTTCCTGCCCTCAAACAGAAAGAGAATTTGACCCAAATAAACACTGTGGAGTACTGGATCCTGAAACAAAGAAACCTTGCACAAGATCGCTCACCTGCAAGGTATTTTTCTTAGAAGATAAAATATCAGATGCTTTGTTATAGTTTAAATCCCACCACAGTAGTTTGAGAGGTCATACCTGCTCCTGTCTTACAGACAATGGGTATGGTATTCAGACGCTGTCCTCAGGTAATTCTTTTGAGTAATTCTGTTTCTTTGAATCAGAGCATCTGCATTATTCCACTGATATTTTTAAAAAGATGTTTTTCTTTCCTGTCATTTTGTTATGCAAAAGGCATTAACGTTTCATGTAGAAGCACGAGTGTTATTTTAAATGCTCCTTTTTTGGTTCGTGTGTACAGCAGTGTTGAAGTATAGTCAGTTCTTAGTTAAAATGAACATGATTTTCCCATAAGAAATTACTTAGGGGCTGCCCTTGCGATAATAACGAGTCTCATGTCAAAAAGTAGCAACACCATAAGACATTTATAATGAACATTTGTATGTGTATGTGCTGCCTGTCAGTAGAGATGATCAGATAGATTTGCTTAAATACGTATTCACGTTTTTCAATCCAATCAAATCAAATTTTCATTGTAAGCTAAGAGCTACAATGATTTTACCTCTTAATATTATATTCTGAAATTATTGGAATAACATTTGCTGTCTTGGGAAAGGTAAGTCAGTAGCATCTATTATGAAAATTGTTGCAAAAAGTAATTTTAGCATTGAAGTTGGCATTTCTTGCGAATGACTTCCTAAATTATCGAAGATTATGTGGAGTAATAGCTTTATTTCCGTAACTATGGCTAAAGTTGTTTAAAGTAGGTTTTTATCTTTTAGAGTTGTGGTATATCAGAAGTATAGAGGACTCGTAAACAATATCATGCACACACAAATGCTTTTTAACCACCCTATTTTTAGACTCATTCACTTAACCATCGACGAGCAGTTCCAGGCCGTAAAAAACAGTTTGACATCCTTCTAGCTGAACACAAAGCTCGATCAAGGGAAAAAGAAGTTGCAAAAGACAAAGAGCATCCAGCATCTGTAAGGGAAAGCTATCAGAGCCAGCCCACACCAGCACAAGACTCTCTGTCAGGATCTTCGGTGAACTCTGGGCCAGAATCTAAAGTAACATCTCCTGCAAAATCTAGGCCACCAAATTCTGTACTTCCCAGGTAAGTGATTCTTCAGCGTGAACTGTTGCATTCTGACAATGCTATAACAAATGTCTTAGTCTTGTGTACAGCCTATGTAATATACAGGCTGTATTTCTTTTGTGCCCTTAAATGATAAAATACGTTAATGTAAGAGTATCTCTCAGCAGTAAAAAAGTATACTACGCTTACATTAACATAAATCTTTCCACAGTAGCCTATGGTCTGACAGGGAATGGGGTGAGTAGTGGTGTCCATCCTCTCTTCTGAATGTCATACTAGCTGGATGTTTTGGCTAAAATGATCAGTAATAGTTAGGAGCATTTATATCCAAATCATTCTGACACATGTTGGAATAAGAGTCTGTCTAGATGAATCAAGACAGGTACGGGGCAGGGGAAATTCTGCACATTTAAGTAGAAACTTCCTCTGCAAATACTCCACCAGTAATATCAATGGAATGACTTGTGAAGAAAGGTGTAATTTAGTGTAAGTGAATATATAGGCATCTAGTTTTTAAAACTATTGATTTGAAATTGTCTGGCTATAGTATATCTTTCCTCCTTTAGAAGATTTTTCTTACAAGGACAAAACAGGCCTCAGAAGGACAATGCACCCTCTAAAGACATCAGGGAAACCCTTTCACCTTTAGAAGTACTAGTATGAGTTACTGGCTCAACTGAATTCTAATTGCCCTCTGATAAACTTGCCGTATGTTTTCTTCTGTACTAGTTTTGGCTGGAATAGCTAAGCTAGTTGGGTGTGTTCATATTTATTTTGTTTCATATTTCTTTTCCTTCCAGAAGGCTTGGTCAGGATTGGGTGCCTGTTTTGGGGCATCTGTACAAAGTTACTGTCCCTGTCTCAGAGATTTTTGCTGTATTTGCTATCTCAAATATTACAGAGCCATTTCCAGTGTTTTCCGTGTGTTCATCAAGCCATAGTGCAGTTTTAGTCTACCATGTCGAGGTGGGTCTTACAGATCTTTGAGTTAATGGGCAATGCAAGAATACGTGTAGATAAGTTGGTGAGAAGTCTACATAATTCTCATTAAAAGGGTGACCTTATATGGCCCTTACATAGAGGGGAGCACAGAGGGACTGGCAGATGTTATTTTTAGTAGGTGTTACAGTCAAAGAAGCAAAACTTGAATGTGATTCAGTGAGAGCCAGCTGAAGGATTCCCAAAAAAAGGGAAAACGATGTGCCAGGAAGATGATTTTAGCAGTCACATTTTGTGTTTATACAATTCATGCTTCTGTTTCTGCTGCAGTGCCTCTGTTCTGTCATTTTGTCTGCTTTTGCAAGCAGCTGTGGCAGAGGAGAGCGTCCCTGCCTCTCTGCTGGGACTCAGCAAGCTTGCAGCTCTGCTGCTGGAGGAGGTTCTGGAAGTGCTCCCTGGTCTGCTGCAGCAGAGTTTGCTGGTGTCACTGAAGGTGACTTAGCTTGACCTGGCCAACTTTTCCTGAAGAAGGCTAAGGAGCACTCGCATGATCTCTCTCCTGCAAAAGCTACTGCAGCAGTGATTTCTAGCTGATGGACATTGTCGAGCAATCCCTGCTCAGAAGAGGACAGGCTCATTGACTGCTTCGTGCTGACAGCATAAATTTACTAGATTAAGGAAGGCTAAATTATGCTTGTTTTCTTTTTTATCTTCTGATTTTGCTCAGTGTGGACATGTCCTCCAATCTCAACGAGTTCACATACGTTACATACTTGCTTGCATAGAGAGCAAGTAAGAATTATTTTCATCTCCCCTTACTAATTTGACTTGTTTCCAAGTTTCTTTTGAAAGGCAAGGCACCATTGCACCCTGGTGATGCAGAGAAATTCCCTCTTTTTTTTAATTGAGTTTCAGACAAAGGTAGAGAAAACATATGCTGTAGGAGGTGCTCCCAGTTGCTTTACTCACTAAACTAGCTGTAGAGCAAGTAAGCTAAAAACACTCACGTTATATTTACTATACTGGTATCAGTAGAACTTCTGTATGAAATAGAATTTCATAGCTGGACCTTTGGGATCTAGCAAGTAGCATAGTAGTGGTGCTGCAGAAACAGATTTTACACATCTAATTTTTGTTTGCATTTTTAATATACTTTACCTCTCTCAAGATCTTAAACTCAGCTTTATGGCAAGTTTCTAATGTAATTTCAAGCGATAACAAATGTACTTTCATTAACATTAACTTGATAATCCGTGGCATCTTTCTGACAAGACCAAATGTCAGGTATTCTGTGTCTTTTACTTTCCTTCTGTATATGTTCATTTCTTGCATGATTTACTTTGAAGCTCCCCTCTGGCAAGTGGGTTTACAGAGCCTTTTGAACACTGACATTTAGAATGTATTTTCTCCTTCTAGACCATCATCTGCAAATAGCATAAACAGCAACAGTTCTTCAAACCACAGTGGATATGTACCAGAATTGCCACTGCCTTCCATGGGAGGAGATTTAACTAGCAGATTATCCAGTGATGAAGGAGAAGTGGATGGAGCTGAAGAATCTGAGAAATTAGACTGTCATTTTTCTGGACACCATCCCAGACCTCTTGGGGTATGTGTCTGTCTCTGGCATGCCTGGCTGTTATTCTGATGTGATTAGGGAGGGGAGAAAAAAGATGTAATTTAGTAAAAATGTAAGGACTGAGGACCTTACATTCTAAAAACTGTATTCTAAAGAGGACAAATGGATTCGTCAGAAAACAGTGATATGGACTGGATAAGATAGGAGGATAAGACTGGTCAGCGCATATGACGTTACTAGGTTGCAGGACAGGATGAGGAGCAGAAAATAAAAAGAACTTGTAGTATTAGACTTTTGTCTCAGTAAACTGTAAATTAGGCATAAATCTGCTAAACTGAGAAGAGTTGCATTGCTTTAGAAAGAACATGAGAAGATTATCTGTCTTTGTTGTCTCAGTTGTTACGAAATTAACCCGTGTGATTGGTTAGAGCTCTGAAAATCGTGTGGCAGCAAAGTGTTATTACAGTGCTTTGCTACTCATTTTTGTAGTTTGCCTTGAAGCAGTAATTAAGTATCATTTATGTAAGTGTATGTAAACGTAGAAGCTGTTGCTTCATTCATCTGGAAACGGAGAGTGTGCAGCACAACACAGCCCATCTGCTCTGGAAGTGGCTTAAGTGTGTGCTGCTTTGGCAGCTGTTTTTCTCTTTCCCCAAGTTAGTAACAAATTCTAAGAAGTAAGAAGTTAGGGCAGCCATATGGCATTTTATCTGCAGTGTGTATTTGTTTACATAGTACAAACCAAGAAGCAATGGGAACTATTGAACTTTTGAGCAGTCAGTTCTCATAAAGATCAAGGAATCCAATTAGTGAACGCTTCCTCTATATATTTTCTGTAGGATGTGCACAGTAAAATTAAATACTGTGATAACTATAGCTTTGTCTATCTTTCCTAGAGTAAAGGAGAATGTGTAAAGGGTAGGACACTAGAAAAAAATAAGAGATGAATGGAAATGACCATGAGATGAAATTGCACATGTAGTTTTTAGCTAGAAGATAGGAATTCTTATTACATTCTATATAATAACATGATATCCAGTAGCCTCTCGCTTCCCTGGTAGTTTTGTATTCCCCTCGTTTTTGCTTATAGAGAACGTTGATCTCGGGCCACATCTACAGTGCATGTTTGGCCTGCTAAGCTTTTTGACCTGCTCCTTCTTTATGAATTAAATACTCAAGGCTTACTGCACGTGTGTCTACACAATTTAAAGAATAATCCAAATCCAGCCAGTTCTTGTGTAGGCATAATCAGTGAGGCACGGCTGTCAGTACCACTGGTCATTTTGTTTTAGGATCCTAGTGCTGTTCAGCAAGACAAATCCCACTGCTTCGTCTGTTTCTTGAAATCTTAATTAGCGTTTCTCAGCTGAAGCAACGATTGATAATAGTGCAAGTGCTTGTAGTCCATGTTGATGTGAAGTCAGAAAAGATCACCTTAAGCATAGTTTAAACTAACTTGCTAGATTTCATATGAGAGTGGCCTAAGAGTTTTCCTCAGATACTCCCTCTCTCGGCTAGCTGGTAGTAATCAGGGAAAAGGCGGTAGCTTCTTAAACTGCCTCTCAGTGGTAACTGACCTGTTTCACTGCAAACTGGGGTTAGTTTATCGACCAGGCAGTGGTTTAAATTAACTTGTTTAAGCTTGCACTGAAACAGACTTAAGATAAGCAGTTACAGTCACACCCTCTCTGTCTGATCAGCTGAAAAGCAGTATAAACTGCTGCTTCTTTTACTGCATCGGTAGTTTCTCCTCTCATCCAGCGCTTGTTTGACTTTTTCCCTGCATGTTGGAAAGTTGTCATGAGAACGTGATGATTTGTAATAGGTCTCTCTCTCAAAGAGGTGTTGTAGCAGTTCTCTACCTAATGTGACATCCGTCAGAATGACCTAAAAGAAAGGCTAGATTCCCCCTCCCCAGTAGTTTTTCAGTATGGTTCACAATTAATTCAGAAAGTTCTGCAGAGGAAATGGTGCAGATTCTCCTCAGCTTTGCAGCTTTGTCTTTTGGTTGATTTTCATACGCTGTGAAGAGTGTATCAGGTGCCCTGTTGTAGAGGACGTGCCTTAGGTGATGCTTTGTTTTCTTTTACTGAAATGTCCCTAGTTTGTTTCTTTATGAAATAGATGGTAAAGATCATACCACTGTGTCTTTTTCCTCTTCAGTTATATTTTGATTCCTGTTACAGAATTATGAGATTTAAGTGAATAGCATAACTGTGTATTTGAGGCAGTAGGAGTAGTATAAGCCAGAATTGCTCCCCTAACAGTACCGAAGGACTTATATGCTTTCCCTGCTACACGTAGCTACCTGACAGTAAACTGAATTGTTAACGAAGTATGAAGTATACTTTACGCTACCCTGGAACTTCAGGCATGTTTTTCAAATGTCATGCAAAAAGCAATTGTGCTGTAGATAGTGGAAAATACCCTTTTTAAGGTATTTTATCTGCATAATACATATGTGCTTCTTGATGCATAAATAATAATTACTGCATAACATATAAACATTTTTTATTTATAAACCACAACAAAATGTTTTTTCTTTCAGTTTTGTTCCTATGGCAGTCGCTTAATGGGAAGAGGGTACTACGTCTTTGACAGAAGATGGGACCATTTTCGATTCGCACTAAACTCCATGGTAGAAAAACACTTGAATTCACAGATGTGGAAGTAAGTGAGAGTTTTATAATTAGTGGGTAGTTTAACGTTTCTAATTTTGTACCACTTCTAAATTAAACACTCCGTGGGAAGCATTTTTTAAAGTTAGCTTTGTGTTAAGTCCTGCCAGTAATATGAATACAAGTTTTCACTTGGCTGTTAAAGACTTTGCAGTACAACAGAAGACCAAGCTTCTAGTCTGAAGTAAATTTCTGCCAGGTTTAGGACTTTTTTTTTTCAGTCCCTCCATATCTGGGGAGAAGGAGTAGTTCTGTTAACATTCAAGTGCATTAATGCTCAGCGTTTTCTGGGTTTGGAGATATGTCTTGCTGTCATAGGGTTTTACTACACACAGGCTGGTTTCTGCCTGAGACTTGGCAAGAGGCCTATGAGTTGCTCTTGACATCATGGATCTAACGGTAGAAACAGTAGAAAAATGCACCGATGCACCTAATCTTTCCTGAACTGTACAAAAGTCTCTCTAGTGAAATAAACATCTCAAACAGTTCTTTACTCTACTGTTAAAACAGCTCTGGAGACTGTTGACCAGTCTGCAGGGCATAATCAGGGGGACTTTGCATGTTACTCTTTCCTTTCCCTCAGCGTTGGATGGAAAACTTTTTTAAACTTGCATTACACATCAGATTTCCTATTCAGCCTTTGCTCCGTAAGAAAGAAGTGCACTTCGGCAAAAGTGTTGAAGATAGCATAAGATTTCTTTTTAGTCCAGCGCCCTCTAAACTCACTGGCTTTGAGGTCTTAATATTCTATGTATGAGTGCATTCTGAACATGCAGTACCTTATATCACATAAGCAGGTTCCAAGCGCTATAGGCTTTGGCTACATGCATGCATTAAAATAGACTATACTATTAAAAAAGAAAGAGCTAGTTAAAACAATTAAGTATTTGAAAGCCTCATGGGATCTACAGATAGATTATTGGGTATTCTGCTATGGAACATGCGTATGTCTTCCAGTATAATGACACTGAAGTGCAGTGTTTCATGTCACTGTTTATTATCAGGACTGTGTTATGTTCATTGGATGGCAGCCATTAGATAAACAAGATGTGATTTTTATTTGAATATATGTTTTGAAACACTAAAGCTTGGCTTGTCTGACTAACCTGCTAACTCGATGCAAACTGCTACTGCGCTGGGAGACCTGTTTTGGAAATGGGTGGGTTTGCTGTAAAAGGACCAGTTTCACGTTTGTTTAGTCAGATAGTGCTTGATCTGCCAGGGGATCCTCTCTTCCAGTTTGTAAATTCGGCTGCCTACTAGAGTCTGTCACTCTGTGTTTTACCTTCCACAAATAAAACTAATTTGATGTCTCCAAATAGAAAGATGAAAACTTTTTATCTATTGGTTTTGTTTGTGAGGAGAAAAGACATAAATGTATCTGAGAAAATGTGTCACTAGTATCACTCCTATAATGAAAAACAAAAACAATCTCTATATTAGTCCTGTGATACAAGGAATAAACAGGCCTCATCCTGCTCCAACTAAATCCAGTTCTAAATATTTTTTCAAATTCTAGCTCTTTCTGCAATCTCTTAATATTGTAATGAGTTCCATCGATACTTATTTGTTTACAGAACACAGGAAGCTCACCGTGCTTGATCCCTGTTGTATTCTTCTGCTGTCCTCAGGCCTCCTCTGGACTTCTCTTTTCTTGTCTTCCCCAAGCAGGGGGCAGGGGCATGTGTAAAGCTGCTGTTTTATAACTGATGCTAGTGCAGCTCTGTAGCTGTGGCTCATCCAGTTGAGACAAGAAGTAGAGTGCAAGGTCATATTTTGAGAACAATAATAACACTTAAGAAGTGCTTTCATCCCTAATTCTCAAAGTATTTTACAAAGGTGGGTAAGAATTATTGGCCCTTCTTTACAAATGGCCCCAGAAACTGCGGAGTGGATCTGGTAAGCAGCTTTGTTCAGAGTTGCCTAGCAAGTCGTGGGCAGCAGAACTCGCTCAGAGTCTGTGTGTAACCCCACGTGTACTTCTGCTGTGAGCGTGGTGCTCTTTCTGAGAGTCTCCATAAGAAGACTAGCTGGAGAGAACACCTGTAGTTAGGATTTGATTTATGATAAAACACTAACACCCCAGAAAGGATTGATTAGGATTACTTCTTTGAGGGCAAGAGTCAGTCTCTAAACATTGCAAAGGTGTCAGCATTAAGGATAGCAAATGCTGAGTTTTGGTGAGGTATAGGATATTAACCAAGAGAAGTAGAACTAAACTGAATTAAATCTTAGTCTAAATGATGAAAAAAGACCACATAATAATTTTGCAAGAGGCATTATGGAAGTCTAGTTCTTTGTTACCACTGGACTAGATAAAGCAAGAAAAGATGTACTACTAGTGGCAGAGTAGAAAGGAAGTTGAATGTAACCTACTCATTTCACAGGTGATGTTATTAAGTTTTATTCTCTGAATAGTATTCAACTAGTTATAGAGCTTACCAAACATTGTTTAATACTCTGTCAATTTTTCAGCGTCAGTGAAATTAATAAATAACTTACCTAGTTAATCGTGACTAACCAGCTCCCAGGTGAGCCCCTGGGAATAGTGCATTGGGAAAGGGATGAGCTAAATTACGTGCTTCCTCCTTTCTTTCTCTAACTTCAGTGATAAAGTGATTCACAAACCCCAAAACTGACTCAGTTGTGACCTTAATCAATCTAACTTGTAAGTTTAGGTTAATATTTAAACTGTTCTGCAACTTTCAGCTTCCAGCAAAGCGCAAACAATGAATGAAACATAGTGACTAGCATGTTTATAGGTCTACCATAAGGCATTTTATTCGTATTTTTGAGTTGTTTTGTAAAATAGGAGGGGAAAAAGGAAACAAAATCTGTAAGAAAGTGATTACATGGCAACATAAGACACTTAATTGCCACATGGGGCCCTTGTGCTGAAGTGGAGGACAGTTCTGGATTAGTGGAAGTACTACAAAGCGTAGGAGTCATGTGCCATGACAGAATTTTGTAGGGGGAAATTATGCTGCATAGTTCTTTACCTAATCTTCTGTCAGGTCTCCGCTACCTTCATGGAATTAATGTGCCTTATTTCAAAAATAAATTTTTAGGAAAATACACTTCAGGATCCAGCCTTACTGAATCCTTACAACATTAAAACACATGAGCCTGTCGTTGTTGTTGTATTAAATCCCGAAGAACTTAATATTTGAATTGCAAGTTTAAAAAGAACAACAAAAATCAGAAGTAAAAGCATGTTAAGCTGTTGTAGACCACAGAGCTTATTTTGCACTGTGAATATTAAAATATATGTGATTGGTAGAATAGGAGTCATAATTAGAATGATCTAGGTTTGACTTTTTTAATAACTTGGTTCTTCCAGGAAATTAGTTCCTGTCTGTGTTGTTCAGGTGGAAATTTTTAGGTGGAGTGAAAATGCGTATCTAAACCTCTTTTTTTTTTTTTTTCTTCTCTCCCCACCCCCATCTTTAGGAAAATTCCTCCTGCGGCAGATAGCCCCATGCCTTCTCCAGCAGCACACGCCTCCACTCCTTTTCCAGCATCGGTCTTACAGCCTTTCAGCAACCCTAGCGCAGTATATATTCCTTCAACACCCATCAGTTCAAGAATCACCTCTTCCTACATAATGACATCAGCCATGTTATCAAATGCAGCCTTTGTGACAACATCGGATACGAATTCGATTATGTCACACACTACAGCTTTTCCTCATGTGGCTGCAAGTTTAAGTATCATGGACTCAACTTTTAAGGCGCCATCAGCTGTGTCACCAGTGCCAGCAGTCATCCCTTCCCCATCCCACAAGCCATCCAAAACAAAAACCAGCAAATCCTCAAAAGTTAAAGACCTGTCATCTCGTAGCGATGAGTCTTCAAGTAACAAAAAGAAAAGGCCGCAGTCATCGTCATCGTCTTCGTTATCTTTGCAGACATCTTCCTCATCTTCGTTTTCAGGGTCCCACAAAAAGAACTGTGTCCTGAATCCCAGTTCAACTTTGAACTCCTATCAGGCTACATCTTCCTATAACAGTATGTCTGTGCACAATACAAATAATGGAACAAGCCCACTCAGTGCCAAATCGGAGCCCTCAGGACGGACCTCATTATCAAGTAGTTCAGCAGACTCAGTAAAACATATGAGCATGGTAGTAAGCAGTATTGACTCTTCTAATTTGTCTGTATCTTCTCTTGTGCACCACTCGGGGGACCACTCCCTGGGAGCACATAATGCAGTGTCTTCTCTACCCCTTTCTTTCGACAAATCAGAAGGAAAAAAACGTAAAAACTCTAGTTCTAGTAGCAAAGCCTGTAAAATCACTAAAATGCCTGGTATGAATAGTGTTCATAGAAAGAGCACTGCCAACCTTATTTCTGCGGTGCCAGATCCTACAAGCAGCTCCATCTCTCGGCAGGTAAGGGACTCTTCCAGTTATTTTCTTGCAGGTCATGTTTGACTTACTTGAAATATTTCTTGCATTATGAAAAAGACCGTATAATGTTTGCCTCAGATTGTTTTTAATCACACTACTTATTCCATAGGTTAATACAGAAATATATTTGTATTTATTTTGTACCCGTTATGGGAAGATGCTTTGAGTGTACGAAAAGCATTTATACTATATTAAAATATTTTTATAACAAATTTTATTCAATTAATAAAGTAGCCATTTGTATCTTTGAGAGTAAAACTGAATGTCCAGAATGGATAAATAACTTGCAGAAATTCATTTCTTATCTTAAAGCTGCTCTCTCTGAAATAAATTGTGTTACTAAAACAGGAAGATAAGGGTCAGCATTTCTGTTCATTTGTTTCTTTTCCCAAACTTTTTGCTGATTCATTTTGTAATGTTATGCAACTCACCTCATTTCTCTCCTATGTAAAATGCTTACATCTTCCTTTTCCTGTGGGGGAATCTGAGATGCTGGACCTCAGATGCTGTTTCCTGTTTGAAAGTGGAAAACATTAAGAAGTTAAAATCCTAATCAGCTGTCTTTAATAGACAGGGTTGGGCTTTTTTCAAGCGTTCAGAAATTGAAGAATTCAGTTGAAGAACTGAACTTTTCAGAATATTGAAGTCAGTGCAACAGATAAGGTTGCGATCTCTTATGTCATTACGGAACGTCTTACGTCACGTACCAGTGATAGAGCGTTGATTTTTTTTTCAGGCAGTGATACTATATAAGGACAAAAGTATAAGATACGTGAATTGATAAATGTTGGTGAAACACTGCCAATATTGTCTTTATAATGATCTACTGTTAATTCTGCTAATGTGTCCAATACTCTGTAGTGCAGAGAAAACGAAGCTTGGCCCTAACTTCTGGAAGGCAGTGAGAAACAGAGAAAAGAGGATGCCTTAGAAACTCCAGAGTAGGTAACTTAAGACAATTGAACCATCGGGAAACTCACACTTCCTGAAGGCACGGGTCATAAAATGAGATTTGGAAATAGGGTAATATCTTGGGCAAGGCAATCCGTAGATGATAGTAGTAGGCAGAAGCGGAAGAAAGGAGTGAACAAGTTCTGAAACTTATGTAGCAGAGTGACGATCTCAGAGTGGCTTAACAAGTGTATTTTCTCTTTCCTACTTCCAATAGAGATGCAACTGAGATGATTTGTTTGGCTTTTAAAAATGGATAATGGCCTTATCTTTCTATTGTAAGCCTTTTAAATCCATGTTCTGCAATCAGAACTAATCTGTAAGTCACCAAAGTCAGTGGAGCATGCTGTAAATTCATCGTCACACATCTGATATTTGAAATGTAAGTGTACCCAAAAAGATTAAATTGCCCAGAGATACAGTATCTCAAATGGGAAGAAAAAGTAACCGCAGATTGTTACTTTGGTACAAATGTTGGCTGTAAGAAATGGACTGCATCCTCTTTTCACAGTACATAGGCTGTATCTGTAGATTGTGCAGTCTGCAGAAGTGTTATAGATCTGTTCAGGAGGTCCTGAGTTCAAATTCTCACTCTCCCAGTGACTTGGCATGTTACTCTGGGACATTCCTGTTCCAGTTTGTGGTGCGTTTCAGCACGTTGCACAATAACGGAAGTACATAAAGCATAAAGAATCAGTCAGAGGTCTTTTTTTAATATTTGTGAATATGTAATTTAAACTAATAGCCTTCCCACAAGTGAAGGCTAGATATATGTAATGACTGTTATGCTATAAGGATATTTAAACATTATAATCTTTATATATATTTATTTATTTATTTATTTATTTATAAATATATATGCACACACATACATACATGTATGTGTATGTATGTATATATGTAAAAGTATAGTCACACTTTCAGTGCTGCCTTTGGAGCTACACTAATAATCAAAAATAGGAGGTAAAGTGGAGTTAATTGTATTTTCAGATTTCTGATTGGTAGCTAATTGTCCTTGTGACAAGGACACTGAATTGTATGCTATACAAAATAGACAGTTCCTACTGGTTTTATTTTGTGCTGTAAACAAATGAAATGTATACCCACTTAAACATATGGGTCAAATAATATTGCATACTCTGCATGTAATTATTAAAACTCTGGAGAACAGAATATTTTAAATCACTTTTAAGCACTCCTACTTTGATTTTCTGTGTCCTAGAAATGCAAACACAGTAAAAATTCCACAAAAAAAATCAGTGTCACTTACAATCTTGCTCCTGTCCCCTGATGTAATAAGGTAAATTAAATTAAGAGAGTAAGAGCACTGAAAAAAGTGCTCAAGTGACTGGTGATAGGCTCTGGAGCCTTTCTAGTCTAACTCAAGTCTGGCCCAGGTACATAGCAACTGAAAGTCTGAATCATTTGGTTTTGAAGTATACTTTAGGAGAAAAGAATTTGACTCCTGGCATCATCCTAATCCTTTTGAAATGGTGTTTCCATCATTAAAGACCCAGCACAACTGGGAATCCATTCTTATTTTTATTGAGTGTCAAAACTGTTCAGTCTCAGTCTGAATTGCCCTTCTGTTCTTGAATGCAGGCCCTCCAGCTCCGAATTAAGGTGTGCCAGTAAAGCAGCTCAAAGCAGCATGTGTTGCTGCAAGCTGTGTTGCTCCGTGCTTTGTATTATGTAGAGAATCAGTCTGTTAGCCTTAAGAGCACTGAATGAATGAAAGCCTGAAGAGGTAGATTTTACTCCCTTTCATGATTCTAGTATTTCAGCAAGTCAGTTCCTTAGTGGCTATTCTTTTGTGTTTAAAATGGGGATGTTACTTGTAGGCTATTGTAAAGAGTTTTCACATCCAAACTTCAAAGGGCTTTATGAGTACCACAACCATGGATGTAAAGAAGAAAGATTGTAAATCCTCACTTTTTTTGAAAAATGACACATTTCATATGTTTTACCTGATAATATTATTCAGGTGTCTGTTGCAGGCTTATCATGATGTTCTGAATGATTAGGAAGGATTTTACAAGCTTAATATAGCACGTTACTACCTAGAGAACAGCAGCTGTGGCACACAAACAAAAAGCTGACGGGGGCGGGGGGGGAACAGGGTAGGCAGAGCCCTACCCTTTTAATCTTTGTGCACCACAGAATCTGCCTGTTACGCATGAGAACTGACTGTAAATCAAAACTTAATATATTTCTTTTGGATAGAATGTGAATAGAGAAAACTGTCCTAAACAGTCACCATGAGAAAGGGCAGTAGCATGGATATGGATACAAAAAATACATTCCACAATGTAAATCAAATGACGACATAGCAAATGATGTTGCAAAAAGGAAGGAGAAAAACGTAATGTTGGTCTAAACCACCCAAACCAATGCCTCAGTCCCATACGTTCGGTAAGAAACTCACAAATCCACTTCTCACCTTGTTTAAAAGACAGGTCCTTACTACCTCTCCATCGAATGATTAAAGTTGAAATTACTTTAAATCCACTGGTCATGTGAATAACTGTTTAAAATCTAGTCATCTGCCATTTATAGGCAGATGGGCCTAGTTAATTGTATATGAGCCTTTTAATCCCTGGGAAAGTGTTCCTTTTACTCAAGAGCTGTCTCCCCTTTTCGTGTAGCGATAAAAATATCTACAGTATATATACAGTATTGCAGGTGGGGCAGTTTTATTACAATATTTTAACTAAGTATTTTTTAAATGTGTGTATATCTGCTATTAATTTGCAGTCATTCCTCTAAAAAATCTCTGATCCAGTAAATGGATATAATTGCAAATTTAAAGCGCTGAAGTTTGACTCTTCTGGTTTATTATTGCTCAGTAAAGCAAATACCACGACTCTCTGCGTGGAAGAAAACTGAGTAATTTAAGGCATGTCGGCAACGTGCTTTAACCCTCTGACTCCCAAGGTGGAGGTGAGGTCTCTTGGGGGAGTCCTGCGCCCGTGCGCACACTGTGCTCTCTCGGTTGCTGCCTGGCTGCACAAAGTTACTCTGGAGTCTTGATGGGGCCCCAACCCTGACAGCCACCTCTCTGCCCTGCTTCAGCGCCTCTCTGCGCACGTTGCGCTGGGTATAGTTCAACTACAGAGGCTCTTACAGGATACACACGCTAAAGCAGCCATCTCTAATCAGTTTGTACCTCATGTCAGACTGGTCAAAACAGAAGTAAACCAGACACTTGAGTTGGGTTTTGCAACCTATATTCTCTTAGTTAGCATTTCTTACGTTGTTTTCTGACCAGTAATCATGTTTATCTGCCTTGAAGAGTTTACTTAAAGTATACAGGCTCCAAGAGGTAATTATGATTGTATTTGAAGAACTATGTTTTAAAATGCGCAAGAGCAAAAATACCTGTGCTCCAAATGCAAAGCAATTAGTGCCACTTTACACACACAGGAGAAGGCCATTACTAGCATCTGCATTCAACTGACAAATACTCCTCTCAATACCGCTCAATTAATGTCTTTCAGATTGGAAAAAATAGCAGTGTAGCTTTGTCACAATCCAGTCCTTCGAGTACATCAAACCCGGTACACAACAGACAAGTAAGTTGCTTTAAAAAACAGATGTACTTAAATAGTCTTTCAAGTGGTGTTGAAATATTTTATACTGTAAAGCCTTAAAGTACAATCTCTTTATAAATACATTTATTTATAAATTAAAGTTTTTTTCAGTGAACTAATACTAGATATTTTTCCTCTCATTTAATATTTTTTGCAGCTGTTTTCCCCTCTGATATTTATGAGTAATGAGTTTTCTGCTTGTTTTTCATCACCTGTAATATGCCTCAGGTTATCTTATGTGCAACTCACTGGCTATTCCTTTGGTGATTAAAAAATCAGCTGGCAGCAGCGGCAGCAGCAACAGAAACTATATCCTCTCAGGATCCAGCCAAGCCAGTTTATTTTTTTCTGTCTAACTTCTCCTGTCAAGCAAGATGGCACAGCAGAGTCCCAAAACTGGCACAGAAGGGGCAGCATTTAAAAATAAGTGAAAAGGGAAAAGGGACAGAGAGAAGACAGGGGATTTGACTATTTGCCAAAACTAAATTAAGTAACACAGCCCAATCTGAATTCTTCTTGGCCTGTAAGAAATCCTAATCCCTCCCACCATGCCTGTTTGTCACGCAGACTAGTAGACAGGTAATTTTGTTACTTCCTGTAACTCCTTTTTTTTTTTTTTGTTTTGAGGACAGGTTGTTGACCTGTGATGCAGCCTTCACCTGTTTTGAGGACTCAAGGACCTTTTTTTTTAATCTGGCCTTTACTGTTTGGCTTTCCAAATTTGGTAGTTTATCAAGAATTCATTGTCAGGATGCTTGGTATAAGCAAGGTTTCCCACCTCACCAAGGCGTAGTCACAAGTAAGCAAAAATTCCTGTCCTAGAGAGTTTTCCTGTATGACCATTCAGTATTTTAGAATTGTTATGTATTCTAAATTATACAGGAGCAGTTATTCCAAGTGGCTGTGCTGTTTAATTTTGCCTATGTAGACAAAGCAAAAGATAAAGAGCAAGAACAGTAATTAACACTGTGATAACCCACAACATTGTCCCCACTCAAAATATTCTGAGTCATTCCCATCTTGTGATGAAATGCCAAATAGTAAAATGATTTTTTTCTCTTTTGCTACTGGATGCAAAGGACTGTAGATGTGGAAGAATAACTATATTTGAAGGAAAAAAAGCTGTGGAAAATCCGTTCGCACCAAAATGTTTCTATGGACTGGCATTTTCCTTTGTGAGACACGGTGTTACCAGCTGCTGGTAACAGACATGGGATGAATCTGTTTTGAAGTATAACCCTTTTTGCTTTAACCTCCTCCTACTATATTTGTATGAAATACACTCTACCCTAGGAACAGTGTTTGTTGGGTAACTGTTTCCTAGATCCCATGGGAAAACCTAAGAGTACAAAATATTAATTTTGTGGCAGCATTATGTAAACAGAGGCTATTGCTGAACTTTTCAGCTGCCTGTTTCTGTAACTATGAAAAATCTGTGTCTGCTTGTTTTTAGCCCCAGAGAATCTTTAGTGTTAAAAATGTGTTCCTGTCAGTTTGGTAGTTGAAACTGAAGCTGAGAATAAAAAAAAATTAGATGTATTACTTTTTATTAAATGTTTGGCTTTTTTAAACCCTAACACAGGATTTTAGTATTTTGACCCATAAATACTGATTACATATCTAATGAATGCTTATCGCTATCAAAATAAATCTGAGCGGCTTTTTGACAGCTTTCATCTCCAATCTGGCAACTGTGTAGTCTCTAAATAAAATTTTAGTCTTAAACTGTGTAGTAATGTTTCTTTATAAAGTTGTTATTAATTAGGTAATAATAAGTGAGAAATATATGCTGTGGCAGTCAAGATATTATTAGGGCAGCCTGAGCTCTCTTGCTTTTAACAGCAATGTTATAATAATCAGGGCGTCCAAGTGAGGCAAGGTCTGTTGGCAGAGATGATCTCTGTTATTACATGGGATATTATAATCAGAAAAAACAGGTAAGTTTTCGTGAATACAAGTCTGAACAACAGACTTTAAACAAGTCACTTGAAACTGAATTGCAGCACCAAGTTAAGTATGAGTTTAGAACAGTTACTCTGGACTTTGCATTCACTATGTTAATTGGTTAAGCAGTTTGTCAGAGAAAGTAGTTGTTATCTGTGGAGCAAAGGGGGAAGTTAGAAGGGGGAGAGAAGATTCTTGTTTCTCAAGAAGAAGGAGAGGAGTCCTTAACAGCCACAGGACATTGAAGGTCTAGGTGAGAATGAGGCATTCTGAAAACTGTAATGGGGCATAAAACCCGTCTCTCTTTTGCACCTATAATTTCTTGTATGCAGTCATACTAAGAGAGTGAGTTTCCCTCCTCTCTTTCTGAAGTGCCGTGAAAGTGACCTGCTATTGACAACTTCCTACTTTCCCTTACTGATTTGTGAGCTAAAGGTGCCTAGTGGTTATTTTGGTGTCACCCTCATAGTCTCTTCTGGTCATTTGCTACCTGTGATGAAATGCACCGTATTCTCCGATACTGGTGTGTAGGACTCGTGGACTGTGGCGATACTATTGTAGAGCCTGTTTGCTGTCTCCCATTGCATTAAACTCAGTCAGGTTAAACTCAGACAATTTGTTCTTACTTCATGTTTAACTTGAACGTTGCTGCATCTATTTGAGACCTGAAGAAGGGTTTGTATACATAAAAGCTTGTCTGTTTTCCCAACTATTTGTGGTTTAATAAAATACTTTTCCCTACCAACCCTACTTGGTTTTTAATAGACATTAATGGCGTGATGTTTTACAGTTGTACAAATACAAGATTGTTTTACAGTCCAATTCACAGTTCCTGTTGATACTATGTATTAAAAGTTTATTTCCTCCAGAGTTTATCCTTGATATAGGTTTATAACTAATGGAGTGTTTTTGTCTTCAGAGTGTTTTTAGGTGCCTGAATGTGTTAATACTTCAAGACTTCAGTATGCGGTGGTTTTTAAATATTGTGTAACTAGATCCTTTTATTAAAGGACGGTGACACCCATTCTATGCCATATGGTGTTTCCGTACACCATACATAACAAGCAGTTGTAGAGGAAAAGATTCTTCAGAGTTGTCTAATTGTTACTCTTTATTTGTCCTGATACGCTAAGTTAATGAACACAAAATTCACCAAAGCATACTAAAATCAGTCCCAAAATGAAATACGTAGTTTATTCAAAGCAGCTCCTGTAACTGGAGTTGGTTTTTTTCTCTCTTTTTTTTTTAAATGGAGATGGAATTTAACTGGGGAACTTAAAATAAATTCCTGGTTTTAGTCCTGTGCTGTCAGATGCAGATGTTGCTAAAGTATTATGTACTGAAGGACGTTTTGTGATTTTGAACCTGGCTCTGGTTTCTCTTTTAGAAGACATCAAACCGGACTGGTAGAATAAGGACTCTTCCATAACAAGGAAAAGGAACCAGCCTATAATCTCAAGCTCTCAGCAGCCCTACTCCACAGGGTTTTTCTTTTCTATGTCCTGCAGATGGATTTAACCTTTTATGAATTTGTGGTTTTAAAAAGAATGAAATTTACAGAAAACTGTAATAGTGATTTGTTTAGTTTTTCACTTGTATTTGCCACTGATCTGTGCGTTCTGCTTAGTTATGTTTCATGCCTTCTCAAGCTGTTAGCGTTGCAATGCTCCCTTTGTTTCCTCATCACAACACATTGGACATGCCAAAAAAAAAATCTAGATCATGATTTAAATGTATTTTAAATGATCTCTAAATTTTGTTCATTAAATAAAAACTACAGTAATTCTGTATTTAAGCTTGTCCTATGGATAAAAATGGGGTGCATTTCTTAGCAATTTGCAAACAGCTGGGGCACTGCAACTTTAGGGACTAATCCTGACTGGTGCTCTGTATCTACAGCGTTTATTAATTCCAGTGGGAATTCTGAGTGTTCAGCCTCTTCCAGGATCAGGCTCTTAAGGAATCTATACTTCAATCAATGCATAGAGGATTTTTGTGCCCAACGGCAGTTAATGTTACCAGAGGCTCAACATGTAAAATCCCCATATCTTGATGGAGTTCTAGACCCTTAAGATCATAGTACTTGATAACTTAAGTAAACAGTTTGGGTTTGCAAGGACAAGAGTTGAGCAGATTGGCTTGCATTAATAGAATTGCACTGACAGTGTTTCTTATAGGATTACTGAATAATTTTTTAATAAAATATAGATTTTATAATCACGAAACCAATACTAGGTACTGGAACAATAGTACAGAGGAGTTAATTTTTATTTCTACAGTGTTAAAAGTGCACTTATATGCTGGTTTATTTACATCTTCGGGAAAGGCGAGAGACTGCAAATAGGGAGATTATTACTACTTTCTTTTTTTAAAAAAGAAGGCTTACGGCAAATTTTAAGACTTAAAAAAATGTTTAAGCAATTATAAACAAGGCTAGACCCTTTGAAAAAAGTTTAGAAATATTCTTAAAATAAATTTTATAGTGTTAATTTTGTAATAATTTATGTTTTGCTATACTTCAGAGCTAACTGACCGGAATAGTTTCAGAAACAGTATGAAACTTAGGAAAGTTTAAGCAATGTTTATATTTTTAAAATGTTCTTTGAATTATGTTTTTATTGTACATTTCTTCAGACTGAAAAATGTGTACATATCTTTGTTATTTTTGCACAATTTTTGTCTTGTTCAGTTTTAGGAGCAGTACTATGTTGATTTTTTTTTTAATTTATTTTGAGTTATGAAACTGCAGGAGTTTAAAAATCTCAGTAACAAAGTCATCCTCTGTAATCAATGAACTGCTATTTCTAGTTGCAGAGGGAAAACAGTGGTTGTGAGATTCAGTGGTTGCTTCTGAGAAATAATGCTACTCAATTACTGAAGGAGCAATTATGTAGTTTCAGGAAGTTTTAGCTCTTTCCATGCATCTTTTAATTGGAAAGGTTGGAATATGAAGCCTGTCCTTTGAATGCTGCTTAAAAGTTTTTTTTCAACTGGCTTACACCTGACAGCATTTCAGGAAAGCTAAGCACCAAGTAAAATCCCACAGTATTCTTTCATCATCAAAGAATCGTTATTTAATTTTATATGTATTAAAAATTTCAGCCTGAAAAGTGAAATGGAAATAAATATTTGAAGAAAATGGATATAAACTGGACCAGCCTATAATGCATTATTAGTGTAGCATTCAGTCAGTAGTTCTTTTTCTTCCCCATTTGCCTGAAAAATCTTGTGATTCGTTTCCAGCAATAGAGGCTCAGAAGCTTTGGTTGTTACACATACGCAATGCATAGGCCCGTCAGCCATAAAAAAGCGACTTGGATAACTTGTATGCCTTCTTTTGTATTGATGTAACAATTGTAAATAGTGCTGATCAACCTTTGTAGAGAATAGTTTATACAGCATATTCTATTATTGCTGATTCTCAGTGAACTATTGTTTTAAAGAAAAAGAAGAAAAAAAGAAATTTTTCTATTTACACCTTATATTTTGTTATGCTGTTGACCCATGGCACTTTAACAAAACTCTGTGGGTTTTGCATAGCTGGTCAGTCATGGGGTATATTAAATAACTGTTGTTGCACAGAAATGAATTTGCACCTGCTATATTGTGCTTTCCTACTACAGATTTTAGAACCTTTTCCAGAAGACTTTTGAAGAAAGCATGTCCAATCATTCTAAAAAAAAGAAAAACGCCATACTTGTACAGCCAATTTCTTTTCTACAATCCATATTTTGTAACACTAAGTATTTTCATTCTTTGTCCTGCACCTTTATGTATTAGCAGTATCAAATAGAATTCATTCCATGCTTGTGATAATTGTAAGCAGAATAAATGTCTAAAGTAGGTGTAAATAGTAAATTCTATGGCTTACAGTTTAAAAAAAAGAAAAAACAGAACAAACGTGTATCTGATTGATACTGCCATGGTTCAACACCGGGCCTGGAGATATTCTCTAGTGAGCGATTGTATTTTTGTTTTTTGCTTTATTATTATTATTTTTTTTTGTAACATGGCTTTGTAAATAAAATAATTTATATGTTTGTAAGAAACAGATGGGTTCTGTCATTATTTATCTTCACAAAGCAAAAATGGTGTGTATTAGAAAACTGACATTTTCTTGCTAGACACTGAAATATATTGTGTGGATAACCAGTACTGAGGATTTGACTGAAGCAGTTCAGGTGAACTGCCCAACTCTCTATATAGGGCTAAATTGCTCTGGGATTATTGTGGTGTTCACATCTACAGTATTTTTGTATTTACCTGTCAGGACATGTGTCGTGATCGGCTACTGAGTTTTTTGCACTGGTAAATCATTTTTAAATTCCTTTGCTTAGCTGTATGCATTTTTATGTTCCTTATCAGTAATGAGGATTAACTTTGCTGGAGCGGCTAGATTTAGGAATTCTCACTTTAATTGACATTGCAAATTTCTAACAATTTTTGTTATAGTTGTTAATGTTAAAAATGCAACATTTATCTAGACATTGAGATTTCAGTGTCTGTGTAAAACCTATTGCAATTAAAAGCAATTGAACTGCAAAGTAGGTTTTTGTATGCAAACACTCAGAACTGGCAGAGGAGATAGAAAGTTGGCCTGCATTAGAGAAAACAATACTTGAAGGGAAAAAAAATTGCCTTCTAGATGAGCAGCTTTTTTATGTAATGTCTTGCACGTTTTGATGCATGTGGCAAAAGCTAACCCTGAACTTTCTCTTACTGCCCAGCTTGTGTCTTGGTCTGAGCTGCTTCTATTTCAAAAACTCTAGTTTTTTTAATCTTGAGGTTATCTTTTCCAGGACACTACAGAGAAACTGAACATCATAAAGTAGATATTGAAATTGCAGTAGATTTTGAAAATTCAGGAGGTCATGAAATATCATCTGACAGAGAGTGGTCCCCAAGTATGGCTGAAAAGTGATGTTTTCTTTATAAGATGCTTTGATATTACTTACAGACAGTAGAAATCAAAACTACAAGCAAGAAAATAAGAGCATTGTCCCCATGGATTATTAGTTGCTTGCTATCATTGTCCATGGCTAGCAGGGGTCAAGGACCACTGAAGTATTTTCTAAGTATGACTGGGTGAGTCATTTGTTAGCACTTGTAGATTTGTTTTAATGGTTTACAAGCTGTTCTCTATTTGGAACTGGCTTTCACTCCCCCTACCTTTTTTCGTTTTGTTTTGTTATGCAACAAGTATTTTTGTTGTAGCAGTACTTTTACTTGTATTATCTAGCATAGTCTATATACCCCCAGTTTCTTAGGTAAGCAGATCAAATTGCAACTTTTTTGTTCATTGCATTGTAGTTTTTATGCTTCTAGTTTTACCAGAGAAGTATTTCTTTTAAAAGAAAATTGTTGCTGTCTGCAATCAGTATCTGTTTTATTCATCCAAATCTGTTAGGATTCACAAATGGAAGAAATGCCAAATAATGATTCCAGAAATATCTGGAGGATATTCATAAAACAGATTCAGACTTTTGAATACTAGAATGTTTATTTCATGCAATTTTTATGCTGTTTTCTTCCTGGAGTACCTCTTGAAAGCTACTGCTCAGAACAAGTACAGACCTCTTTTAAAACATACTTCCCTAAGTAGAAGAAAGATAAAGCTGATATAGTTCAGCAACAGGTCCTTGTCTGCCCTTTGGCTGTATAAGCATAGTAGAAGGTATGCAGTGCGTTCTTGTTCTCATTTTGTAATGCACCACAAATGACATCACAGGCTAGATTCTTTGATTTTGTTTGTTTTAGCTGACCTGCAGAAACATTTAGATCTAGTCTGTGATCTGCTTTTCTCACAAAGGGGCTGTTTAAGGGAAGCTTGACAAAAATAATAGTCAGGATCCAGGAGAGCTTGATTTGAGGGTAAAGACACTAGTAGGGATTCCAGATGATGCACAACATTCAACTTCCTCATTGCAGATTTCCGAAAGCTAAACGATTTAGTTCCAAAATTAGAGCTGGATTTGATTATTTTGAAGCAGTTACTAGCAAGGGTGATAAAACACCTCAAAAAACTCATTTTTCAGAAAAGTTGTTTAGAATGGTCCAAGTGTATTTACAGAATGCTACAGGTGTAAAAGGCCTGTTGGTGTAAACATAATGAATGGCTTAATAAACTGCCATGTGCAATCTGGTGAGTCCAAAGTGTCTGTGTCAGCTGATTTCCAGCCTCACCTCTGCTGAGCCAGAGGAGGGAATGGTGACAGAGCCTCCAGGTCCTGGGAGACCTTGGATGTTTTCACGATGCAGCTGGATAAAGCCCTGGTCTGACCTCAAAGCTGACCTTGCTTTAGGAAGATGATTGGTCAGGTCTTCCAACCTGAATTATCATAGGATCCAAATGTTGAGGAAGCAGTAATGATGATC